ATAAATCCGCTACCATCTCCCTATCTCCCAACTGTAATACACAACCTCGATATACCTCCTCAATTATAACGCAATCCCCAATATGAGTAGTAATGGATAAGCAATAGCCTAGAGGTTCAATAGGTTTATCAGCATGCAAGGAAAATGATAGAGATACAAAAGAATGTGTAGAACCCGGATCAATAAGTACATGTGCCTCCCTACTGAACACATAAATAATACCTGTTACCACCTCCGGATTAGCCTGAGCATCCCGCTGAGTCAAAGCAAAAACTCTCCCCTGTGAGGTTTGTCTATCGGATTGAACACCTCCTTTATTCTGCTTGCCAAACCTAGTCCCAACCTGACCTCCTCATCGGCTTCCCCCTCGGCCGGCACCTGAAATTTTATTACTACCAACTCCAGTACTAGCAGATAAAGCAGTTCGTGTGCAATCTCTAGCCAAATGTCCGGGTTGTCCGCAATTGAAGCAAGCTCGTGTATCTCCCAAATTAGTCATTTTAGGAACTGTGCAATCTTTCACCAAATGACCCTTCTGGCCACAACGAAAACACAAGTCGGTACCAGCATGACAAACACCTGTATGTGCCCGCCCACATTGCTTGCAAACACTTCGAGTAAACTGAGATGATGTCCCACTAGACTGTCCATGACGCTGATTAGAAATGCTTTGGGTTGGGGTGGGATGCTCTCTATTTTTTTGATATGCACTAGAGCTCTTGACTGAACCATAACCATGACCACCTCTCTTTGACGGTCTATTAGATGTGTTCTCATGATGGGATGAACTAAGGTGGCGCTTCTTCTGTTGTTCCGCTAACTTCATTTCTATGACATCTTTCTCAACTGTTAAGGCTTTATCAACCAAGGTCGAATAGTTAGTTATTCCCAATACTCGGATACGAGATTTGATGTCCAAATCCAACCCATCTGTAAAACGACGACATTTGACCTCCTCATCATCCACAAACGAAGGGGCAAAACGAGATAAAGAAATGAACTTAGCTTCATATTGAGCTACAGTCAAATCCCCTTGCTCTAGCCGAAGGAACTCTCTTTCTTTTTCATACCGATAGGTAGCTGGAAAGTACTTGTCATTGAAAACCTTAGTGAATTGGTTCCAGGTCAATCCTCCGGTGCCACTTGCCGTAAGTAGGCGTTGCGTGGCCTCCCACCAATATTCAGCCTCCTCCACCAGCATAAAACTAGCAAGTGCAACTCGCTGCTCGTCTGATACTTCCATCACAGAAAATATCTGCTCTACCCTCCTTAACCAGGCCTCTGCCTCCATAGGATTGGGCGATCCAGAAAATGATGGAGCCCCCAACTTCTTGAACCTCTCAATTGCGGTGAGGCGGTTCTCTGTAGGTTGCACAAATGGCCTTGACTGTGCTGCATTCTGTTGTTCAAGGATGTGAGTCTGCCTCTCCGCTAGGCTAGCCATTGACTCTAAAAGGCGCTGCACACTAGGGTCTAAAAAATGCTGGAGCTGTGTCAACCCTTGGTGGTACGACTCTATCTGAATGTCCCACTTCTGGATTGGCACTTGACTCTTGAGTTTGCTCATTATGCGATTCATGTTCAATCTCTTCTTCCTGAACCCGAGGTGGAACTTCATTTCCAACACTAAGATGTGGCTCTCGCTCAGCCTCAAGTACTTCCATAAGGGGGCGACTCTTATGAACTCTTCGCCTTGCCATACGCGCCTGTATAACAAGACAATTAAAACTTAGAATACTAGATCGCTATTAAACATCATCACTAATCGAATTACTAACTACAATACCCTATCAACTTTAATTCTAAAATAACTAGTCTACAGATTCATAACCAAATGCTCTGATACCAAAAATGTAACGACCCAATCTTGGCAAGGCAAAACCCTGCCAAGAGGGTGCACCTCAAACGCTATAGCACCTTTACACCACAAATTCCTGTATAATTCTTACATCACATCACCACATCACCAAAAGTGCATAAGACCTTTCAATTGCCTAACATATATGAGATGATCTATTCAAAGACAAAAAAATATTATCATGCTACAAGATAGTTCCCAAACATTTCCTCCCAAAAAAAATATAATACATACTAATCACGAATCCATCAATACATCCAACTTCATAAGCAATTTTTACAATCAACCTCCTTCATAAAAAAAAAGGGTAAGCTTACATCCTAGAATGACCCTAAGCAAAACCTCAACCACAAGATGCCCACCTGTGATCCTTCAAAAAAAAAATTCTAGTCTTCCAAGTTGAGGCGAGCCACACAAAAGTCTATGAATCTGAAAAAAAATTATTTAAAAGAATGAGCTAAAGCCCAATGAGTATACCAATACCATGGAGTTATAAAACTTGCTCCTACCAATAGGGTTCAAAATAAAGATACTAAACATAAGAGCTTAATTGGACTTCAATTTATACAAAATAAAAATAAAAATGATGCAATACAATTTTCATAAAACGTTATCAAGATTTTTCCAAGGAATCTCATAAGGCAGAAAAAAAAACATACATTTGGATAATGAAAGTAAACAAAAATATAACTTTTCAATACATTAAGATTTCCTGTCCATCATACAATCCACTACATAGCCTTAGGGTCGCGTTACCTCGCGACTTAGGTGGTGACGGTACCGTTACCCAAAACATAACCATAGGAACATAGCTCATGTCATCGTAGCACTTCAATTCTTGTTTCAATGTTTCGGTCCCCAGGACCCCTTATACATACAACGACCCTTATGGTCCTTAAAACATTTCGGTCCCCAGGACCCCAAAGCATTTTGGCCCTTGTGGCCCCAAAGGCTATATTCGGTTATATGATCAATAAAATAAATACCCTCACATAACATTTCACTGTCATTCAATCATCATCATCATAAAATTTGAAAGACTCAAATTAAATAAATTCTCATAAAAAAAATAATGCTTCATTATACAAATGAAATCATAGCTTTTTTTAAAACTCAACCCTTGGCCTCAATAAATTTATAGATTTTCTTTTTATACATACTGCTGCCTGTTGGGCAATTTATCTGATGTTACATGTAATGCTTTTACTTAGTAATACTCTGATGAATGAATTAATAAAATGTTTTCATTAAATAATGCGTGTCAATGATATATATATAATGGGTTTATTTTGAGGGCGTTACATCACATGTGTCACCTTTTGTATATCAAACTCTAATTAATGAAAGCTTAACAATTCATGTATGTTACCACTTACTAAATTCCCTAACACCAAAATCCCCACAATTTTTACATCACATTCAACCCTAGATTAACCCAAAAATCTAAATCTCCAAATCAACCATCAAATTGACCATTTTTTTTTTAAACATGTAAAACATTCATGGAAACTAATTGAGAGTATAAAATTCAACAATCAAACCCCAAATCATAATAGATCTAAAACACAAAAATTTCATCATCTCTAACTCAAAATATGTAAAACCTTCAACTAAACTTTTAGAGAAAGATTCTTACCAAGTACAAGCCTCTAATCCATCAAGAAAATAAATCCCATGCTTTGATTCTTCAAAAGATTAAGAAAAATCTAGAGTTTGTGCTTCTATTGTGTTATTTTCGGATGGATTCAAGGAGTGCCGACCGGACCCATTTTCCGGCGAGATAAGGTGGCCGGAGGTGGTGGAGATGGTGGGTCAAGGTGGTGGTGTAAGGGTGGAGCAAAGGTGTGGTGTTTGGCCTCCAAGAAAGTAAAGGAAAATGAGAGAGAAAGTAGAGAGAAGTTAGAGAATGAAGAATGAAGACAAATGAAGAAAAAAAAATCTGCACTTCTATTTTTTTTTTTTTTGTGTTGAAATGGGGTGTTTGGTCACACCTACCATCAAGTTTGGAGTTGGGTTTAGATATCCTAAATGGAGTTTAACATAGGAGTGTGTTTGGCTCTAGATGAAAAGTTCGGAATATTATAGTTTGGCATAGATCCAACAAACAAAACACTCACAATTTGTCTATATATATACATGGCTTTGATGATTCTGTTAATATACTCACAGACTGTTGAATAACGAGAAAGGATTGTTGGAGAAAGTGGTCGCCTCCTCTACTTCTCCGGCAATGTCCTTTGGAATGGCTTCACCACTACCATTGTCGCAGTCTTTAAGTCCAGCGTTGAAGGTCTTAGATAACATCTGAGTAGAGTAGAAAGCTTTGGAGACTTCCATAGAAGGCACACTTCAAGAACGAGACAAAAACTTAGAGGAGAGAAATTGAGCAATATCTGTTTCTGGGTTTTTTTGGGTCGGTGTCAGAGGTGGATGATAAAGGTCTGGAAAAAAAAAAGAGAAAAGGGTAGAGAGAGAAAGTAGGTGACGGAATAGTGGTGGTGGTGGTGCTAATGGGGGAGTGATTATTGAGGAGATAGAAAAGAGGGTTTGAAGAGAGAGAGAGAGAGAGAGAGAGAGAGAGAGTGGTGAGGATGAAAAAGACGATGAAATTGTTGTATTGATGATAAAGATGAAGAGAATGAGCGAATAAAGCGGAATCAGAGCTACGTTAATGGCGTTGAAGGTCGTCACATTTTCAGAGAGTTCTACAGAGAGAGAGAGAGAGAGAGAGTGTGTGTGTGTGTGTGTGTGTGTGTGTGTGTATGTGTATGTGTGTGCGCATGCGCGCGCACTTGTGTGTCTCTCTTTCTCTCTCTACTGGTTCAGTTTTGTGGGTAGGTTTACACCTCTACAAGTTCAGCTTCACATTTTTAGAAAGTTCTGAAAGAGAGAGAATGTGAGTTTGGGTAGGAGGGGTGAGTTTGCATCTTTCTTTTGAAATTTGGGGTTGAAATGTAATTTTTTTAATTTTTTTCATTTCAAATATGACGACAGGGGCAAAATTGATATGATTTCAAAAATTTTGGAGGTAAAATTGAATTATTCGAAGTCTGGGGTTATAATTAAAAATCGAGACAAAGTATAGAGGTAAAAATAAAATTTTCTCTTTATTTTCTTTCTAAACTATTTGCCTATTTTGCTTAAGTAAAATTGATTAAAAAAAATTGGTATTTTAATCATTAAACTCAATCAAAAATGGTGTTTTAAATACTTTACATACACTTACCTTGGGTTTAATGATTTAAATACTATTTTTTCTTCAGTTTTACTTAAGAAAAATAGGTTATGGTTTAGTGATGTAGAAGTAGAACAAGTAAAGAGTAATTCTTGGAATAACTGGACCCACAAAAGGCAAGGAAGAAGTTAAATTGGGGGTAATAATGACACTTTTGTGACAAGCTCTAAATTATCTCAAATTTGATAGTGATTGGAAATGGCATTTTAAATGGCGATGTTGACCAGTGGATTTTAGTCGAATTCTTTCATTTAGGCTCTCAAATTAGTGATTCTGTCTAAGAAAAGTTTCGTCGTGAAAATAATTGTATTTTAATTAATGTTGTCTATTTTGAAGTGTTTCTATTGGTAATTTTCTATTTATTTCTGTGTTTCTTATTGCGTTAGGGTTTAGTTCCTTATAAATAAGGACATATGTCTTAGGGCAAATAAACTTTTATTCAATACAATTTTGTTTCTGTGTGAGTGAATTTCTGACCACACTGCCAACTCAGTATTCAACTAGAGAGCACTGGCAGAATAGATGGCGCCTGAATGACTTGCAACAGAAAGAAGAGATTCCGGCGGTGGTTCGTCCACCCGGGGGTACTCCGATGATCAAGTCAGTTATCTCTCAAAGATAGATCAAGGACTAAAATCACTGTTCAGAATATAAATTGCGTACCTTAGACCCATTGGGGGTGCCTCTCTTTTATAGCCAACTCAATCCTAGTCCCAATAGAAGCCTAGCTTTAATGGACTTCTACTCAGTGCTTATCCTAGACTCTCCGATAGATAAAGATAAACTCCCTAAGAGCTTTATCTTTATCCAGGCTGAGTCCTTCCTCATTCTAGGACTCTTGTCCCCTATCTGCTTATCTCGAACTCCGATATCTTCGGAGATAACCTCGGCCTAGCCGAGATCACCTCACCGTAATGACCATGACACGTGGTACCTCGGCTTACACGTCGGCGTCACCTTGGCCACGTGTTGGTACTCAGAAAATATATCCTCACAACTATCCCCTAGGTTCTATTACCTCGGCATCCTGAGGTGATGGAACCTATATCGTTCATGTCGGCTATCTTGCTGTATCATCCATTTACCGAGGTCGTAATACACTGGCTTCTCACAACCAGGTCCTGTAGTCTGTCTCATCAAAGCTTCAGAATTTTTAACCAAGTTTATTCGAGTTTATTTAGCCGAGATTTTCCTATCAGCCGATGTCATTGCTTTATTAAACCAAGAACTCCAAGAGCTTTATCACGCGTATATCTTGTCATGCAAAATAGACCATCCATTTTTGCCACGCGTTCGTCCCTTACTGGACCGTACTTGATACGCGCCTATAAGTTGTTTCGCGTCTGCGCGCGTCGTCAGATCAATTCGTCGTTCTAGGCTCATTGATGGTGTTTTGCCGCCATTCTCCGCGTTTTGATCAAAATCAATTTCTCTCTCTCTGTCTCTTCGCTTTTGCATCCTTATTCTCAAGCTCTTAACTCTCTCTCTCTCTCTCTCTCTCTCTCTCTCCAAAATACGCCATTGTTTCCAGATTTTCAAGCTTTATAATAGCTTTCATTCATCTCCTTTGGTGAAGCTTTTGCTGTCCTTTTCAGATTGTAACTGTCTCCTGACTCCGGCATCTTTAACACTGGCTTCACTCCTCTGGTAAGCTTCTGTTCCCTTCTGGTTTCCAGTTTTTGAGAAAGCTTTACCTTATTACTTGTTGCCATTGATGTTCTGCTCAAGTTCTTGATTTATAAATCACCTATCTGAGCACGTTTATTTTATGATTTTGCTTTTGCCCAATTAGTGTTTTGAATGCACACATTGCTCACAAATTTGTTCACTTTTGCCACTGTTCTTGGCCGCTCACACCTTGTGCACACTTCATCACAGTGTTCTTGATAGTTCATCACTGTTCTTGATTCTGAAACACGTTCTTTGTTTTCTGTTTTTTGTGTCTTTTCCAGATTTGTGCCTTCAATCTTTTGTTTCCACAGATCTAGGTTTTGGATTTGCTTGCAGAACCCACAAACCTCAGGAAAAATCGAAATGAGTGCCCCTTAGAATCCCCACAAATTTTGACCATAGTGCATTTTTTAGGTTTTTAGCCGAGGTCTCTAAAATCTTTACAAAACACCTTCTTTCTGAAATCCAACTTCTGAAATTTAAGCCGACGTCATGAGTATGTTGAAGTATATGGTAGATACCCCGACCAAGTTAGAACACTTTAGGCGAGAGTTTGACAATCTTGGCCGACTCACCTGCGGTTGGCTGCGGAGGATGACTTCATCATGCCCACAACTGATTCTATGCCCTTCCCTGTTGTACTTTTATCGAGTGCAGACTTAAGCTCCCACTTAAACATCCCTTCCGTGAGATAATCCATTACTACAAGTTGAACCCAATGCAGCTTGCCATCAATTCCTACCGAGTATAAATGGTATAATAGCCTTAGCCAACAAGAAAAATGCTAGGGTTACCTTAGTCAATATCCAATACTGCTACACCATGTGGCTTAAAAAACAAGAAAGCCTATTTACTACCTCAAGCCGAGGTCCACAAAGTATAAAATCGTTGTCGACCTCCCAGACCCAACAAGGGAGCCGGGGATGATTACTTCATTATCTCGCGGGAACTAGGAGTTCGTTCCTCCAGATGAGGACCTCCACCTCTACCCTCTTCCTTGAACAGTTTTGTAGAGGGTAATAATAAGAGCCCAGTGTTTATACTTACTTTGTCTTTAAAGTTTCATTACTTTGTTTGTTCTAATGTCTGTTTTCTTGCAGCTCTTCCTCAACCAAAAAAAGGCTTCCGTAAGTCCTTTTTCCCTAACAAGGGTTTAAAAAAGTTATTAGATTTACCAGTCCATAAGCGCAGAGCCCCTTTGGTGCTCAATTTCATTCCCAACTACAAATCAGTACTCCCCGACATTCCAAAAAGAAGCAAAGCCAATCTCTCCCTTCTACCCCAACTCCCCTAGCAGCGTCTCATCTCGGCCAGATCAAGGATCAACCTCTGATACAGCAGGCAGTCATCCACCTCAGATCCACAACTAATCCACCATCTCAACGCCGATGACGTCGACGAACTGTTTTTGCTGATGAGATGGGCTGCCAGAAAGCAGTGCGTAAAGATCTCTTGGCCACATTCCTGACTCAGTCGATGCTCAACCGCACAATCCCAGCCTCACCAAGCCGAAACAAAAAGCTAAGAAGGCTCAGCCAAAGGCAACGGTGACTTCAGGTTGACACTGAGGCACACTTGCCAATTTCCAAATTGGCTGAGAGCGATAAGCCTCATCTGCTGCCGAAGAGGCCTGTCAAGGCCCAACCATCGGAATCCACAAGACAAAGAGGTCAGAGGTCGTCTTCGCAACAACTTTGGGCTCCATGAAGTCTGACTCCCCCTGGGCCCCCCAATCACAGTGGGGAATAGGCCAGTTAGAGCTGGCGATAGTGCGCGACGTTAATGTCGGCATCGCTATTAGAATCGTTTTGCTTCCTTCCCGGCGATCTTGATCGAAACGCCGAGATGAGCCAGTATGAAAATTTCGTTTTGATGCTGCAACACTCCGTTCAGGTAAGTTCCTTCACCTGGTAATTTTCTTTCTTTATTTTTCCATACTTAGAGAATTTTACTGACTTCTGTTTTGTTCACTTCAATTTCAAGCCTTGAGACCGAAAGAGCTGGAT